ATTTTAAACCCGTTTAATGGGGGAATAATATTGTCAGACACTGATAGATCTCCCTCCCCTCCCTCTTTGTCATCGTTTTCTCAGCAAGACAAAATTTAAATTATATCATATGCTGACGATTTATGGCTTCCCTTCACCATCCATTTACAAAACATTGTGCAATACGGCAATAGTATATCTTGCGGCAACTGTGAAAATGTGACGTGTTCCTTAAATGGATGTTTTAATTCTAACAACGATATAAAGACATGCCAAAATTGCTAACATCACAGTTGAAGGGGCACTCTTTCTAATAGTAAATTTTTATTTTCAATCAATTACCGTGGGAATGATTTAAGCATCGGTTTAGTCTCGACACGTGTGCCTTAACTGATGTGTGTGTTAATTTGGAATATCGCGATAGAAGGAATTCGATATGATTGTTGATTTCTGTTGAAATACGATGTTGTTGATAGGATTTGACGTTATCGACCATTTATGTGCCTGTGTGAACCATGTAAATACTCTTTTTGCAATGTTTGTGTCTAACATTGAATTCAAACACTTTCCTCACATTTACAATGTATTTTTATATGCTGGTAAAACTCAAGCCAGTATACGCCTCTTGTAAACAAAATTGGTCACAGGAGGTAATATAGATAGACTCCTTGTTCCAGTATTTACTTGGTCTTCAATAGAGTTGCTAGTAACAGTGCTTATTCTGAGAAAAGGTTTTATAAATGGCACCATTATTTTTTGGGGGGTCTTCCCTTTCCTTTTTTTTTTGTAGTTCTGGAAACGAGTTGCATGACAGCTTTCGTTTTAGCCATACGCGTTTTTAAATAAACAATAACCCCAATATCTTTACGAGACAGAAAATTATTGTTTGTATCGATCGAATGGCTTTTTCGACCATTTAAAACTTTGAGCCTTACACATGCATTGATGGTTAACTAGAAATTAACTTTAAGTTCCTGGAGAAAAATTTAAATATGGATCACAAAATCGATTATATTAAACATATAGCCCGAATAAATTAACTGATCATTCCCGATGATAGACGACTTTACACTAGACAAATAACTGTTTAATTGTTTTAAAACTTAGAAAAACTTCCTTGAATTAAATCAAATTCTGCGCTTGTGCAGGGCCTTATAAGGCATGAAATATGATTGTCGATCTATCCCCAATGGTTTTTGCGATATAGACATTTGAATCGTGCCGTCTGCTCAGGTATATACTGTCTTGAACGCAAAGTTTTTCTTAATATACAAATATATGCCTAACGGTCAGTTATATAGATAGGTCGTGTCAACTGTAGATGTCGGACTGTGGTCAGAATTGGCATCTATTGAAACATGGAGTGATGTTGTCGGGTGGGACTGTGGTATAGAATTGTGGCGTGTATTTTGTTGAACAAAATGATGGAATTCGGTCACTGCAACTAACTGGGATTATTAAAACAAAAATATATATTTTCACGAACGTTAGCAAATATTCTGATGCAACATTTTTTTTCCAACTTTCTTGACGAAGGTAATGATGCTCGTAACCAACACATATCGTTGAATTATTCATAGTTTGGTTCCTTCCTATATTCTGTCTCAGGACTCTTGTCGGTGGAATGAATGCAATATCGAAAAGAAAGTATGGCAGTCTTCTTGGAAGATATCATTTTAATGTTCACATCTCCCAGTGTATAACCCCGACACATGAGTTACGTACTCCAACACATAATGCTGTTTGCTATGGGCTTACTTATGCATAACGTCATGCCAAAAATTTCCAGACATTACAGTACCCATGACTGTGGCGTTTTCATGCATCCCCTCCTGTAGATATTATTATTATTATTATTATTATTATTATTATTATTATTAGTAGTAGTAGTAGTAGTAGTAGTAGTAGTAGTAGTAGTAGTAGTAGTAGTAGAAGTAGTAGTAGTAGAAGTAGTAGTAGTAGAAATAGTAGTAGTAGTATCATTAGTAGTAGTAGTAGTAGTAATCCCACCCTTTATTTGACAGTCATTATTATTATTATTATTATTATTATTATTATTATTATTATTATTATTATTATTATTATTATTATTATTAAATGATAATGATAAGCAGAGAAACGAATCAATTTATTTACAATTTGTGAACTTAATGTTAATTGGATTATACAATTTTACTTTTGTTTCGTTTGCTAATTTCCAAACCACGACAAAAATGTACAAGGGGACTGTCTCATTTCCCATTCCAAACGTTTACAAAAGCATATTGAAAATTTTATTAAATAGCTATTTCTTGAAAATCGCAATGGGTCACTGGCATTCTTATGAAATGTTGAAAAGCAAATTCGTTCAAACGCCTGCACGGACGAGGAAATAAAGTCATGCAAACAACCACTCACAGAATAGCTTAAAAACTTCTAAATCTAAATCCAAGGACTTTGTAAACATTTTTAGTATTAATTAGACTATATCACAACACTTCTTAAAATAATACATACATACATACATACATACATACATACATACATACATACATACATACATACATACATACATACATGCATGCATGCATGCATGCATGCATGCATGCATGCATGCATGCATGCATGCATGCATACATACATACATACATACATACATACATACATACATACATACATACATACATACATACATCATCATACATACATACATACATACATACATACATACATACATACATACATACATACATACATACATACATACATACATACATACATACATACATACATACATACATACATACATATATATATATATATATATATATATATATATATATATATATATATATATATTTATATATATATATATATATATATATATATGTATGTATTTATGTTTATGTATATGCATATATATAAATATTATATATATCTATATATATATATATATATATATATATATATATATATATATATATCTATATATATATATATATATATATATATATATATAATATATATATATATATATATATATATATATATATATATATATAACGAGTTGTTCAAAGTTCGCCTTCTAGTAGAGGATGTTGGTTGTCTCAGTTTGTTCCACTCCATGATCATTATTAAAGTCATCATATGAAATCAATTGCTATCAAAGTTTTCCATTTAGTGATAAAGCAATTAATAAATAACGTTGAATGCGACCTTTAACCAAACAGCAATCAGTCATCATTAAATGCTTCTATAGAGTAGTTCAGTTTAAACGATAGATAATTATTACCGTCAAAGACTATACTTAATTTGATTGAAACACATGCTTTAAATGGACCTAAATATTTCATTAGCTTTTCAATGCATTTAGAACGACAGGTAAGATCATCGGAACAACTCCGGTCTAACTCAGGCAAGAATTTACTTTTAACTAAAAATGATTCAAACATGTTTTGTGTAACAACAAACACTAAACACACACTCAAAAACCTGCACAAAAACCCGAAAAATCTTACATTAATCTCTCTCTCTCTCTCTCTCTCTCTCTCTCTCTCTCTCTCTCTCTCTCTCTCTCTCTCTCTCTCTCTCTCTCTCTCTCTCTCTCTCTCTCTCTCTCTCTCTTTCTCTCTCTCTCTCTCTATATATATATATATATATATATATATATATATATATATATATATATATTTATTTATTTATTTATTTATTTATCTATTTATTTATTTATTGATAACCACGTGTGCAATCGTCGTCAAAAAGCTATTGGTTTAAAATTACTGTCAATAATTTTGACTATCTTGACTTCATTTGTTTAGACTATATACTACCGCTGACGAAGAATGTTGTAAAAACTATGTACCTCTATTATTTATAACACCTTATTTAACATACTACCATAAGTATGGCATTAGTCACCCGTGCAAATATTATATCAGTGTCGCACACATCTTTATCTACCTTCTATTTATTTTGAACTCCTCATTTGTCTTAATAATGGTAGAGCGTGTTGGTCCCTTACCTAACACCAAGTCAGGCAACCAATACTTGTTGATCAGCTACAAGATTCGCAGCGGCAATTCTTTTGATGAATATTAAAGCTAAAACAATAATCAAAGTTTTGCTAAAGTTTTTTTTTTTTTAAATTCGGTTTTGCCTGCTCAAATCTGTCCAATTTGGACAAATTTTATGTCTGGAAGTTTCCAGAAAGTTAAGCATGAATTCGGCATCCGCAATTCAGGTTTTCTACCTATCACCCTGAAAACTGAAGGGTTTAGAATGTTATCATCAAACATTGTAAAATATTATTAGGTAATATTGTTTTGATACAGGAAAAGATTTAGACAAATGTGTTCATTTACTGTTGTTTGATGTTAGGGAATCAGTTCAAAAATCTTTAAGTTTTAGTTCCTTTTGACTAGTTTTGGGACACACTTTCCGTGTACTAACAGACGTTCTTGAAAGTGAAACTTTTCAACGTTTAATGAGCATGATTGCATCTGGTCTAGATAAATGTGATGCTTACATCGATGATGTCACCATCTACAACGACACCTGGAAAGATCACTTAGAGGCAATTTCTTGGACAGTCTCGCAGAGGCATATTTGACAATTAATTTATCAAAAAGTGAGGTTTTCCGTGCTTCTGTTACATTTAAAGAACGTATCGTGGGACATAGCCAAGTTAAACCTAGATATGCCAAGGTCAACGCTATATATGAAGTCCCCGTGTCTATCAGTAATAAAACAAAACAAAAAAAAAAACAACTAAAGCGAATTTTAGCGTGTTGTGCCGAAGCGTGCGTTTAATCTTCTAAACTTCGATTTTTGAAGAAAGTGTGGTTATTAATAAAATGAAATGTTCTTTTCCTACTTTGATACTCGATATTTTTCATTTTTGGTATCCAATTACGATATATTTTAGCGATGGTTACCACATGATGAAATATATCCGATATTAAAGTATGAAAAGTATTCTCTAAATATTTCTGACATGTTGAAAGATATACATCTGTAACTCTTGAATACTAAAGTTGTGAACCGCTCCAGTGGCCTAGTGGTTAGACCGTCTGCCTCGGATGCGGAAGGTCGTGGGTTCGATCCCCGGTCGAGTCATACCAAAGACTTACAAAAATGGTACTAAAAGCTGGCTCGCTTGACGCTCAGCATTAAGAGGTTAGTGTTATGACTGGTCGGCCTGGTGTCAGGAAATTGTAACTGGGTGGGTCAGAGAGAGAGAGAGAAGAGAGAGAGATCCCCTGCATGCTACATGTCTACGTTAAAAATCATAATCACATAATCACACAATGTATTTTTAATTTCATATCATTACAAACTCATTTTGAAATGATGTTTAATTAAAATGCTATGAAATAAAAGTTAATTCTCAGTAATGATTGACTATTTCGGTTAAATCATTTTATCTATGTCCCATACCCACTGCTTACCACTATTAGGAATTTAAGTTTTACAGCATTATTAACATTAATTAAACTATTTAAGAAAGCAGAGCATATTGTGAGTTCGAATTTTTAATATATAAGACAAATATATGGCCAGCACTCCATGGAGACGAACAGATTAAAGTAAAATTTCCGAGGGAAAAATATAAATGTCGTAATTTCTGAAAATATCTCATATTTCGCATCACTTGGTGAGCGAGACCGATTATGCGAATGTGTCGCATCATGAGATAAATGGATAACTGAGATACGTGAGTATAAAACATCTGCACAGTACTGTTATGATAAGGCTAAAAAGGAATTTTACAAGCGGTTTCCTTTCTTCATTTTTTTTATATATTAAATCTCGTTGAATCCAAAACACAACCATGATTCTAATTTTGTTTGTTATCACAATGGTACCAAAGTTTTAATAATATCGAGGCTGATATTTAAATGTCAAGAATGAAGCAGAAAACAGTTAAAACGTTAAAACAAGAAATGTCAAAGCACAAGATACGTTCGTCGGTACCCTCTTTTAAAGGGTTTTATATTAAAACATAAGAAAAAAAAGATGAAGGTTAGGAACATCACTTATTTACGTGAAACACGTTATAATTCAAACAATGTATACATTGCTTGCCATAAACTGCTGTTTTATTATTTCCTTAGTTATGTCATTTAATATATGTAATTATTTTTTATTTGTCTTTTTCATTAACATTAAGATTTGTTAAAATTAAATGAGAAGTCAGGACGAATAAGTTGACTGATAGCAAAAACTGTTCTATCGATTATATCGATTAGTTTGACCTTATATAACAATGTAGCAAAAAATTTCCAAAATTATTTATATGTGAACTAGAACTATATTTCTCTATTTTTTTATTTTCAACTTTTTTCGGAGGTGGGTGGGTTGTGGGGAATGGGTGGGATGAGATACGTCATTTTTAATCTGTGAGACACCTTTTAATGGTATATACGAAGCCTACAATACTACAGGCATATTTAGTAGTATTACCGCACAGTTCTCAAATCTGGGTAACTAAACATAACTAAAATTGTACCTAGATGCATTGAACATATTTAAATACAAGTAAGATTTTCTAACAGCTGAAATAATGAAAGGGTAAGCACTAATTTTTGAACCTTTAGGTTTTTTATTGTTCCATTGAAAGCATTCTATTTAATCAAATAAAGAGGGGAAAAAATACTTGTCGTTGAGATGAAAATCTATTTTTCTGAGGTAGTCACCGATTATGGATTTCAACAACGTTTGTTATAGTTTTCTTTCAATATCAAATAAAATTATTTTAAAGCAATTACGTATGCTGTGTACAATAGAATATCATAAACAGAAATGCCATGGCAGGTGCCAACAGGTGCCAGCTCAAGAATATGTCGCTAGAATAAATCGAAGTTGTTAAATAAATATTTTGGGATCTCGATACAATTATTATATTCACTCTGCTTTACACGCCTACCCATATGTGCCATAAACCAGCATAATCTTGAAAACGAAAAATGTAATTTAGTTCTTAGAAGGAAAAAACCAAACCAAACAAACCACATTCAGGTATTTTCCCCACAGACATAATGACAGGATCGTGATATTTGCAATAAATTAACAATTGTAATTCATTTACTCGGGTAAATTCGCACACAGAAAAACAGACATTACTTTAATAATGTATTCGTACAAAAACAGACTTTACTTTAATAACGTATTTCATTCTTCTATCAAAGTTATTTACATTTTGTTGCAAGATGTGTTTACCTGTATTCAAGTAGCCATTAATTATACCTGTACCAAGAACTATATGCAGAGAGCATGCAGAGCAAATGACTGTATTCTTCTAAAAGATATGTTCAAATAATTTTAAAAGTTTTGAAATTTTTCACCTTGAACCTGAAAAAATAAATAATTATGATACATGTATATGAAACTGGACGAGGAGGACCAATCTAAAAATAAATTAGATTTATTTTTTATTTTTTGCGGTTAATATAAAATAATATTTTTCATAGTTTGCTCTTAAGAATGGTATATCGGTATATCAGCAGAAAAAGAAAGAAAAAGAAAATCTTCATCGACTAACCAAGGCAACTACAAAGTAACGATTATTGGTTGAAAGATAATGTACAGAGAGGATCTTTCTACTAGTTAAGGATATTTTTTGGAGCTTATAGAATTTGTATGCAAAATATTAAAGCTTGTTTAGTGGATATTCCAACTAAAAATGTTTGGGAAAGAATCCAGCAAATGGGTATGTTTGTGAAAGGATTCGGCAAACATAAACAAATATACAAATCCTCGTTCATTATTAAAGTAAATGACAATTTTTATGAGTATAGATAGTTTCACAAAATGCATTATGTGCAGTTTAAGATACCTGCACACAATCGTACGAACGTTAGTAGAATCTAAGTCAGTAATGCTGGTAAAAGTCATATGTGATACATGCGTGTAACATGATCGGGCGTTAATAGGAACGTTCTTAACAATAAATGTCCCAAACACTAGTAAAATCAAATTTATAAATTATGGTATTTACTTACAATAAATGTGATTTCAATCTGGATACTTTGCTCGAACGGGTATCTCACCTCCAACTGACTTTGCTTTCATTGGATACTTTGCTCGTACAGGTATCTCACCTCCAACTTACTTTGCTTTCATTGGATACTTTGCTCGTACAGGTATCTCACCTCCAACTGACTTTGCTTTCATTGGATACTTTGCTCGTACAGATATCTCACCTCCCATTGACTTGCCAGGACGAATAATGCTTTTATCCGATGACAATCATACGCAACATCTGCTATGCGCATGCGAATTACACAAAAATATCGTTGCATGTCCTGTTCTATGGTATTTAAAGTTTTTCAAATATTTAAATCCGTTCCATCAATATGCATTACTCTAGAATAGCGAAACTAGTTATATTGCTTCATTTTATGAAAATCTACAATGTCTTGGCGATTATCAAAATTTTTATATACTCATTGGAGTTCGTACCAGACGTACATCTTAGACAACTCCAATTTAATATATTAGACAGATTAGTTAAATCGATGATGTGAGACAAATTAGTTAAAGAACTTCTAATTTAAAAAGTCATAAAGAAATCGATATTTAGTCCATATCTCGATCAGTATATTTGGGAAGTTATCGGCTATAACGAAATTTATCCCGTATCTTGAAGAGTAGATCTGGCAAGTTATCGGTTATAAAGAGAAATAGCCCATATCAGGAAGAGTATATCAAATTATCGGCTATAATAAGATTTAGCCCGTATCTTGAAGAGTAGATCTGATATGGCAGGTTATCGACTATAACGAGATTTAGCCTGTATCTTGATCAGTAGATCTGGCAGGTTATCGACTATAACGAGATTTAGACCATATCTCGATCAGTATTTTTGAAATTTATCCACGAAAATGAGATTTAACCCTAAACTTGACAGTACTTTTGACAATTTATCCACAAAACGAGATTTAACTCGTACCTAAGTAGTTTTGAGTTTTTGGCACTTTTTATCCACGATGACTGATTTAACCTGCATTAGTATTATTGGCATTATATCGTCTTTAGCAAGCAGATTTAGAAATAGTTGTGATAATTTATCGACTTTAAATGTGCACGTATAAGGCTCGTGAATATTGGAATTCATTTCTTATTGGAACCACAATAATATTTAAAAATAAGCTCTACAATGTAAATGTCCAAAAATCATATATCAGTCGAAATTAAAAGAGGCTGTCACCATACTAGTGGTAACTTGTTTACCTCAACTTAAATTCGTTTTGTTACTTTATATTTCATCTTGAATTTAAAGTAGTGATTTAAACAAATTTTATTTTTTAAAAACAAAACATATCAAATAGATTATTGTGAACTACCTTTTGTCATGGCGTCTTCTTTAACTTAGCTTCAAGCCACATTTATCAGGAACTTTCTTGGAAATGGTCTGAAGCTGAGAAATTTGATACATCTAATTACTTACACGACAATTTATTAGGAAAGCACGTAATATTATTATTATTATTATTATTATTATTATTATTATTATTATTATTATTATTATTATTATTAATACTATTATTATTATTATTATTATTATTATTATTATTATTATTATTATTATTATTATTATTATTATTATTATTATTATTATTATTATTATTATTATTATTATTACAATAGTCTACTGTCTTTAACGAGGATATCATTTGATCATAAGGTCCTTCGTTTTGTTATTGGCAATGTTAAAAAATAAATACAAAATTGTACACATGCTCAGGCATCGTCGAAATTCATTCATGCATATTTAACATGAATGACTACGTGTGACTAAACTCATTCATGCATATTTAACATGAATGACTACGTGTGACTAAACTCATTCATGCATATTTAACATGAATGACTACGTGTGACTAAACTCATTCATGCATATTTAACATGAATGACTACGTGTGACTAAACTCATTCATGCATATTTAACATGAATGACTACGTGTGACTAAACTCATTCATGCATATTTAACATGAATGACTACGTGTGACTAAACTCATTCATGCATATTTAACATGAATGACTACGTGTGACTAAACTGAAAAACATACTTATATGAACAATATTCTATACACAGGTACATACATTTCGGCAT